GCTCTGCTCCATTCCATTCATTACCCTGAAAATCTGAGCTCTTGTCCTGGAAGGTGTCAGCCAAGGGGGTTAAAAAAGAAGAAAGGGGGCAAATCAGGAAATCCATGCACAGAATTAATAGGAAGACATTGATCAGAGATTTGGGAGCATCTTTCCTCCAGCTGAGCTGGAGGCAAGTCAACATAAGGCCACGAGGCACAGTGATGTCTTTCTGCTGGTACCAAGCTGTTCCTCTGCTCACCAGGAGCCCAGCAGGACACGCAGTCCCTGGGCCTGCTCCCGGGGGAGGTGTGAAGGACACACGATGCTCTGCAGAGCTGCCCAAGCCCACACTGAGCCAGCAGCACACAGGCCTCCCAAGCAGCCACTCACCCCAAGGAGCTTCGAGACCCGACTCTGTGACAATGAAATTGAAACAGTCTCACACAGAAAGGGGGGATGCTGAGAGGCACAAACACAATAAAGTGAACCCTATGAATGCTACATCAGAGGCAGAGCAAGTCACAAGGGCGTCACAAGCTGAGCAGTCAAGGGCTCAGGCTTCCTCTGATGCCACGCACACCTCATGCTCTTGCACCAAAGCTGATCCCAGCTTTACAGAGCCCACAGCAAGCCACTGGACTCAAGGACACAGGTGCTGGTAGCAGCTTGCCATGAAATCAGAGCAGCAGCAAGCTTGCCATTAAACCACAGCATCCAACTAGGAAGAAGGACAGCACTGGGCCTGGCAAGAGCTTTGGAGGAAGCTAAAGAACCAAGATGAAGACCACTGGAGATGGCTGAGCAGAGCACAGGTGCAGAACTGGAGCATGGGAGAAGGAAGTAGCCACAAGAAGGAAGAGCACACAATGAGCAAAACAGTAACGGATAAAAGGCAGAGGTAAAGCAAAAAAAGCAATCAAGCCACAGTAAGTGTAAGGGAATTATTTAATGATCCAACTGCAACACATTACAGCAGTACAGGCAGTGTTAGCAGAGATCTCATCACACACACTTCCAGGCGAGGGCAGGACATGGCTGCAGGAATCCCAAAGCCTCCCATTGCTGTTACTCATGCAGGGGTTGGTCCCCATAGACATAGAAAGCTGGATGGCAGGTTCTGTCCTGCTTTTAACCTCCCATTAGGTGCCCCCAACATACTTCTTGTCCCTGCGCATTCCTGTAGGGAACAGCTTCTGCCAATCCCCAAAACAGTAAAGATGCCAACTCTGATCACAGACTTGCTCTAATCTACACAAAGGAGTCAAGCGATGGAAAGAATAAAGGGCAGGGGGGGGGATGAAAGTCTTCTCTAGCTGTGGGAGATGGAGGGACGCTTCCCTAGTGCTGCAGGGATGAACACAACTGCTCCCAAGGTATTGGAAGAGGACAGCCTTCCTTCTGCTCAGATACACCATGGGGCTTCCCTTCTTGAGGGGCTGGATTCCAAGCAGATAGGCCCGGAGCTCCACCACAGAGAGAGGAAGTGCTGAGCACCCTCCAAGATGTTTTGTTACCCCGGTTCTTCAGAGCAAGGTGCACAGGAGCTCAGTTTTAACTGCTTTGAGCAGCATATCCCTGCACCTCCCCTGTGCCCAGGTCTTCTGCCACATTCTCCCCAGCGAGAGCTGCTCAGGGCACAAGGAAATGCACCTTTACCTGGTCAAAGCTTCCCAGTGTCCTTCCTTTAGGCCTCCAATCATCCGAAGATCAGGACTGGGGACAACTCTAAAGCCTCTCTGCTGCTGCGAGCAACAAGATGATGACCGAGATCATCAGAAAACGCAGCCAGGGAGTTCTGCTGGTGACTGAAACTCCTGAAAGCAGGGAGAGCCATGGCCTTCAGTGGCAGAGAGGTCACAAGGGGCTTTACTGAGCAAAATCACATTCAGCTTAGTCCTACTGGTTTTCTACCTCATTCAGTGTGTGCAGACTGAACAGGAGTCTGTAGACTCTTCAGTATGCATCTTGCTTGAAAGCACTGGCATAGCATAAATAATCACTCCTATGCTGCCAAAAAGCTCTGACAGAAATGCAGCAACACATACTACTGGAGCACAAGCTACATGCTTCAAGCACAGTAATTAGGTCTCCAGTACTGCATCAGCTCCATCCTGGTCTGTAAGTCCACAGACATTGGGCCCTGAGGCATTGCAGGGGTCAAGCCAATTGGTAACTCCTACGCCCTGATGAGAGGCTTCTAGCAGTAACAGGGAGTGTAGCAATAGGACATGAGGGAATGGGTTCAAACTCTCACAGGAAAGGTTTAGGTTGAATCTTAGGCAGAAGCTCTTCCCTGTGAGGGTGCTGAGGCGCTGGCACAGGGTGCCCAGAGAAGCTGTGGCTGCCCCATCCCTGGCAGTGTTCAAGGCCAGGTTGCATAGGGCTTGGAGCAAGCTGCTCTAGTGGAAGGTGTCCCTGCCCATGGCAGGGGGTTTATCTAGGTCATCTTAAGGCCCTTTCCAACCCAAAGCATTCTATGACTCTAATACACAAGCACAGCACACATAGCAGCCCCTGAAGACTCCAATTACAGGAAGTACCCACTGCACTGGGTGTCTGGGCTCCGGAGGCAGAGCTCATGGAGCATCTACACATGGCACAGCTCACCAACATGGAATTATTCATCCTCTGGTTCCCTCTGCTGCAGCTGATGAACACAAGGAACATCCAGACACAAGATTTCAGTGTGACAGCACTGCCAGAGCTGGGGCATTCTAAGCAGCCTAGCACTGTTACCTTTCTTAACTAAAACACATTTGTTTAGCACGATAGGAAACAAGGGAAAACTGAATGTACAATCTACATCCCTGAAAGTCCCAGGGCACAGAGAGCTGGGCAAAGTGAAGCAGTTCACTTAAAGTATTAAAGTCAAATCAAAAATGGGCAGGGACTGAAAGAGTTCCTGACAAGCTCAGAGGTCCCAGCAAGGTAACAACCAGAGCCCTTGGCTTCTTGGGCTGTTTTACATTAGAACACACACAATGGTTTCAAAAGAGCACATTTCTAGTCCCAGAAAAGGATAAGCTTAATGCTTTAAGTCAGATCCTAGGGGAAAAAGGCTCCTTCATGTATTTCACAGTCCAGCTCAAGAGGTAAGCCCACACAAGAGACAGCAGCACCACATCACCAGACTTGCTTCAACTGTTCCACAACCTTGGTCATGCCAACAGCAAGGGAGCCAGAACTATTTAAACACTTCATTCCACATGTGAAACAACACATGTGATCCCAACACAGGCAGATGAGTCCATACACGATCCAAGCTGAAGGTGTAACATTCAGCACTCCAGTTTCATGTATGGCTGTATTACCTTCCCATCACCCAGCATCTCTGACTTCTTGCCCCACCAGAACAGAAGCAACCATGTCTAGTGGAAGGTGTCCCTGCCTGTGGCAGGGGGTTGGAACTGGGTAAGCTTTAAAGTCCCTTCCAACCCAGACCACTCTTGTAACTATGAAACCACCATCCTCAACTTCCGCACTTGTCACTGCTCCCTCCTCTTTCCCTCCTTTGTATGCTCTGCTCTCCCCCAGGAAATGTCAACACCAAAACCCAGCCAAACCTGCCACAAAACCCACTCTTGGGTGACTGACTTGTGAGGCAGAAGAGGGGAATCATCAAAAAGCATGCTGCAGAGTTGGCAATCACCCCAACCCACCCTCTCTGTACTTCTCCAAGCAAGGACCTCATGACTCCATTGCAAAAACACTGGAACACAACTTCACCATGGCTGATGCACATTCTCCTCCTTGGTCAGGGAGGCTCTAGCAACAGCATTACCCTGCATGTTAACACAATTTAGTGACAGGCAAGGCCAGGGATGGTTAAGGGCTAACACAAACCCAAGATGCATTAGACTAGCTCATGCTCTAGTTGTTGTCAACAGGTTTTTATCCAGAGCCACAATTCAACAGGCCACAAGCTGTTTCTAAACCAGTAAAGCCAGCAACACACTGGGGCACAGCACAAGAGCACAGAGGGTTTACAACGATCCAGTTCCCAAGCTGACATTCCTGCACGCAGTATTCCTCCCCTCGAGCTGCCACCCCTACAGTGTCAACCAGCCAGGGAACATGGCCACATGCTCCATTTCTCTTCACTTGAAGCTCTGCTCCATCCCCACACATCAAAGCACACAGCTCCTGGGTGACTCTAGCTGTGAGAGGACTCCACCTGCTCACACCTACATCCAGCGCTGAGCACACGAGGCCATTGAGAGATGAGACAAGCGGAACAGAGTTAGACCAAAAGCAGTGGACATTTATTCCTTGTTTGTGCAAGTGTCAAGATGCATTTGGAAATGGGTGGGACAGACCCTTGTGGCTGGAGGGCTGGAGGCTACAGCCTCTCCTTCAGTCGATGGCTTTGTTCACAATTCTACTGTAAGAGGAAGGAGATCAACTTGCAGACTCACCTACTGTCACACCAACGTTGCTGCCAAATACACTTGTATACAAAGAAAACAAGTTCCAAACTACATTTCTTTTTCCACTAAAGTGAAGACTTTGTTCCAAAAAAAAAAAAAAAAGAAAAAAGACACATACAAGTACAGTTTCAAACTGAATGAACATTTGCAAATGTTTAGTGCAAAGTAATTCTGTAAAAGCTACATTTTTATGAAAGTTTGTGCTGATGTGTTTGGTAGGTTTTTTCTTTTTTACCCTTTTACATCCATTATTTTAGTTACATAAGGTTTCACTTACCTACAGTACATATGCATTGTGTTAGGTCCCATGCAAGTGGGAATAATACCATTAGGCTTTGTAAAATGTCACTCGTTCTCAGTTAGGGGAACTGCTGATTTGGTTTAACAGTCAAGGTTCCTGGCACAGGGCACATCCTGATCTCATGGAAGTGCTCAAGCTTACGTTTGTCTCATCCAGGTGCACATGGGGATCAAGCCAAGCTGCTTCGTGCCTTCAAACTCAACCATAGGTCAAAGCAAGAGGTTTAGAAATCCACCAGTTTGCTTTAAGCCTGTAACTGCTCTTAAAAGTAAAAGCCTATTCACACAAAGTTATATGTAATGACTGTAGTAATCAGTTTATTACACAGATTAATCATTCTTGAACGTACAAGCTCCAGGGGAGCAGTTGGGTCTTTAAATACACACAAGTTTGTCTGTCAAATGGATTTTTACCCTTACATCCAGAAAGACCTAAGCAGTTAAAAAACTTAAGAAAAAAAATAAGAGCTATTAGCTAGGTATTAACTGAGAAACCACATACAAACCAAAAGAAGTATGAAGGAAGGGAGAGAGTTGAAACAAATCAACATCACTTGATGCACTAATAGCTCCAATCCATTTAAATGGTGACCGGTTAAACTTAGACCTTAAACACAGGATGTGGGTACAGTTTCTCTCATTGGTCATAACATTTACCTAAGGTGTAGGTCCTTCAGAATAAAATGAATACAGAAACAGCTTCAAGTTCTTCACCTTGATTTTCATAACTTATGAGTTTAAAAGGATTCCACTTAAAATCCTTCACGGACCAGCAACACTGTCCCTAGAGATCTGAACTCCACCATCACTCTCCTGTCACATTTTACTACCCAATTTAAATCAAGAGGGAATGCTTTTAGGCTCACAAAGTTATGACTGAAGAACCAGCTTTTCACACACACACTTCTCTGCTAGGAGTCAATGTTGGTACGGGGAAATACAGTATTTCTATTTTGTTGTTCCAAGTATGTACAACACGCAGCACTGCTGTATCAGGTAAACATGTGCACAGGGGAAGATGAGGCGTGGGCTCATAGAAAGCAGTCAAATGGAAATCAAAAGGACTTTCTCTTTCAGAGTTCCCCTATCTTTATTTGTAGAGGTTATCCAATAATTTCTTTAATTACATCGCGTACTTCTGAGTCCATTCCCGAGCTATTCTGTTGTACCTGCATGTACAAAGAGAGGAGTTACTCAACAGAGCATGTGAACAGCATTCCAACTCTGCAATCTACACATGCCAAGAGCTTACACTCTCCAGCATAAATTCATAAGAGCAAACTAAACATCAGGCAAACAGGGGAAAGCAGAAAGCCCACAGTACTTCATGGAAAAGTAACCAGTCCCACTGACAACAGGGATAGGAGATGGTTGTGATTCCAGCCACAAAAGAGAGCTGAGTATCTTCAGGAAATCTTTACCTACACCTTCCCCAGCCCCCAGCCACTGCATTCCTGGGGATGCTATTACTGCAGGCACCTGGCACTCTTGGAAGAGAGATTAATATGTCCCACCTCATTCTTCTTTCCTCGGAAACTAAATCCCAGTTCCTGATACCTACTCAGCTGCCAAACCCCATCACAGCCTTGTTTCTTGCTAAATGTTGAATTTGGCCATTTTGATAGCTATCAGGATACACTGATTTATCCAACAGGATTTGGTTTTATTCTGAAAGCACAATATTTCCTAAATCACCTGTAGCTTTTCCACCCAAATGCCCTTTAGAGCCAGAGCCACTAGTAGAAGCAGCTCAGGATTCACATGTAAAACATCTAAAAGCAGTTGCGGTTAGCAGTACTGCTAAAAGCTTATTGCTGACAACAGAAGGCAAGGTGTTCTTATTCTTACACACCTTTTTATCCTGTTCTTTTGTACAGGATTTGTACAAAAAGCTTAAGAAAGAATAAGAAAAAGCAGAACTTAAGCAAGAAGTCTCCCAGCTATGTGCAGAGCTGGCTCTTGTGCTTAAAGAGCATTTTTTAGCTTAAAGAACCTGACGTACTTTAACAAATGCTCTTGCCTACATATCACTGTTCGGAGACTACTCAAGAAGCAAGTCCACTTGTGTTTAAGCACCAAATTTCCCTATTTGGGGGGCGGATGGGGAAGGAAAAAGGAAAAAGCCCTGCATACATTAAGTGCTGTCAGTCACTGTCAGCTGTGCCTCACAATACATACTGCTTCTCTTGCAGCTCTCATTAAAACCAGGCTGCATGAGCTCTTCTAACACTGCTTCTCAAGTATGCAGTAAGCAAGTTTGTGGATCATTTTCCCTTCCTTCCGTGTTCTCTGCAGATGATCATGCAGCTTCATAAAATAAACACTACTGATCAGAACTGGAAGGGAACAGCAAGGTGGAAATGTGTTTACAATGCTCAGGAAGCTGGTGCTTTCGAAGCGCTCATCAGCACTAGAGTTCTCTCTACTCTTGTTGTTTACTCCAGAGAAGCTCTGAGCCCTCCTACCCCACCTCTACACCATTTGTTCTTCCCTTGTGTTGTCAAATTAAGGCAAAATGGTATTTTTGTTCTTCCTTTGCCTGTATGATTCCATCACCAATAGCGACTGTGGAAATTCTCTCCACTGGAGTAACCTGCTCTCCCTCTGCTGGTTACGTGGCGTTACAGCAGGCAGGGAAAGCTCAGAGCTGGTCACATTCACCTCAAAGCTCCACATCAACCAGATTTGCATTGTTCACTTCCCATTTTCATTAAATCAAGCAAACCTGTAATCAACTGCTACAACGCTAATGAAAGACCATTGTGTGGAACAAAGATGCAGCAATAAAACCACACAAGTACAAGACCTCTACACCCTTCACTTCTGGCATATACACCTTTGTCCTACAACAATGCAGTGCTGTTAACGTATTAGTACTACAAGTCCCGGGGGGGGGAGAAAAACATCTCTAAAGAGACCACAGTTAGAGTGAAAAGGCAAACCAAAGTTCACACTCTTTTCCCAGAAGCAGGTCCTTTTAGATCCCCATTACTACTGAACTGCGGGTTCTGCTCTGTCACACGTCACGTGCTTTTTGGCTTCCATACTCACTTTTCTCTATCTGTTTTGTAGATCCGTGCAATCTCAGGCACTAAAGGATCATCTGGATTGGGATCACACAACAGAGAACAGATGGACAAAAGTACTAGGGAGAAAAAGAGAGAGATACTGAATTAGAGTTTAAGTGCAACCAAAGACACCTCCACAAGTCAGCCCATGCACTGGCTTTCCCTCTAGCAATTAGCATCATTTCAAATAGCCAAGGAGCAGTGATGTCACATACACAGCCAAGTGATTCTGAACAAAGATCCTTACCATTTTACCATGCAACTCTGCATGGTCATGAGTTTTTAGCTGTCACCACAACAGGTAACCTCCTGCACAGGTGTAGCTGAGTACAGCCTTAAATAACAAGGCAGAGGCTGAAAGCCTCCCCAGGAAACATCCTTGCTTTTGCACCTGAAATTCAGCCTCTCCCTAAACCACCTGTTAATGACCTGCAGAAACACCAAGAGACAAACAGCAACCAGGTTCAATGAGATGAAGGAGGCATGAGCTGCTCACAGCTACAAGAACACTCATCTTGCAGAGAATTAAAAGACTTTATCCAATTACTTTCTGAGCATAAGAAAGGTTGAGATGGATTAACTGTATTATAGTATTCCAAATGAATCAAGCAAGCATGGCTTACTGCACTCCTGCCAACCACCAAGCCCTGAACTTTCAAGTTTCACTATAAATATGTGCTGTCTGTATCCCAGAAGCCACATCCCGCTCGGCACAGCGTCAACCTTCCTCCATGTAAGGAGTCAGGAGGCTGCCTGCAAAGCCACAAATAGCACACGCACATTCCTGCGTTCACACCAAACTAAAGGCAGGAAGCTATAAGCTAAGCATATTGGGACAACACTCCACAAGGCACGTCAGGGACATCTTTGTCCCCCTCCAAGAAACGCCAAACATTCATTGTATTGATTAAAACAGGCTGAGAGAAAAGCAAACAGTGCCACTCCGTATGTGCCTCCACCACCAGCAGGAAGAGCAGAGCTGTCACAGAGCATCCTCCAAGCAAGTTGGAGATGACAGCAGTTCAAAGTTTGACGGCACTAAACAGAAATCTGCTCAACTTCCATTGCTTGCTACTGTGTTGCAGAGCAGGAGGCAGAGCTCTGTGCTGAAAGACAGCAGCTGACAATGAAAGAGAACAGCATCCATCCCAGAACTCTTTTGTGGGTTTTATGGTAGGTTAAAACAAGCCACAAACCAAAGCACAAACAGAGAGAAGGGGAAAAAGAAGTCTGGAATTCACTGGATGTGGAAATGGTTTTTAAAGTGGGACAAAAAGCAAGTTCCACCGTGCAGTGATGAGAGCACCCAGCACCCAGTTAGTTTGGTTTTCCAAAGGGTATTTTTCATGAAGAGTTCTGTAGTCCCTTCACTAATGAATTATCAACTTCATGTTAAAAGCTTCTAGAATAAGTTTAGTAATAAACTGTTCTTGATGTAAGTGAACATATTTCTTCTAGAATGAAGAACCTCCTCTTCCTCCTGTTCCTTTTTGTCCTGTACACTTGGGAGTTAAGAGCTTCATTATTCTCTACCATCCACTGACACCCAGACCATTTATTCAGCTATTTCTCAGAACACAGCTTCAGAGCGTGCAGACACTAATTTCGTGCTGCAGCATGTACAAGCCACTAGTCCTGCAGTGCTGGCCCTTAAAAGGGACAAAGCCTGTGTTAGTACCTGTAGCACTTCCCATCAGCTTCAGCATTGTCCTCCCTCCACATACACTGAGTAAAACTCGCATTAGCGTTCAGCAATAAGAATCTCTGTCCCATCGTACACCCAGCTACTGCCACACAGTTCAGCTTCAAAACTCTCATTTCTTCAGCTACTTCCCTGTAGCTCATTTCTTTATATTTGTCAGACTGCACTGCTCTGGTCACTGAAGCTTCTCCAGCTGGTAAGGAGAGTAAAACAGTTACCATCCATCCCCTCTTCAACAGAAACCACAGGAAACCCAGAGTGTTCTCCTCAGCTCTCCCTCAAGTTTTATCTTACCACAGTCCTTGAACAGCCAAGGACTCTTCTGAACAAGGTCATAGAATGGTTTACATCAGAAAGGACGTCAAGATCATCCAGTTCCAACCTCCTGCCATGCCACTGATCACCCTTAGAAGCAGAACTAAGCTGCAAGTCTGTCCGGTTCTCCCTGCCCTCCCCCACTACCATCTTGCCCGTTTCCGCATCACTCAACGTAGCTGCACGAGTTCCTCCTCATGCAGTTCCCATCAGCCTTACAAAACCCCAATATCTCCTCAAAGCACTAACCAGACAAGATAGTGGTCAGCTGTTGGTGCCCATGACCAAAAGCATGGGCACCAGGATAAGCAGGGCCTTGCTTTGTGTCCTCCAGAGCAGATGATGCTGCCCACAAACCAGTTTTGTCCAGCAAGATGCAAGTCTGCCTCAAACAGGGGAAGAAAGAGAGAGATAACCCCTGTTCTAGTCTTGCAGGTTTAGTTCTTGGTTTACAGGTATCAGTGTGAGTTTATCCTTGCTACCTGCTGGCCATTGAATAAAGATGCCACTGGTACTACTTACTAAAAGGCTGTGGTTTGTTAGAACTTAACCAGCAGCTAAACACCTCCTTTGATGAATTCTGTCAATCTAACCACTTCCAAAAACATTTCTAGATTTCATTCCTCAGCACTTCACTGATTTTGTAAGTAGAAATGGTGCCAGCAAATCTTCTGAGTCTTCATTAACCAAAAGACTTCTTCCCTGTGAGGGTGCTGAGGCACTGGCACAGGGCGCCCAGAGAAGCTGTGGCTGCCCCATCCCTGGTAGTGTTCAAGGCCAGGTTGGACACAGGGGCTTGGAGCAAGCTGCTCTAGTGGAAGGTGTCCCTGCCTGCGGCAGAAGGTTGGAACTAGATCAGCTTTAAGGTCCCTTCCAACACAAACCAGTCTGAGTCTGACTCTCCATCACCCTTGCTCTTACTTTCACATCTTTCCCTTTTTATCTGTATACCCTCAGCATGAAAAACATTCACTGAGTTATATAAACTGGTTTAATTTTAAAAGCCTGCTGAGCCCAGCTATTCGTCCAACTTATATTCAGGAAGTTTCTCTCTTGAGGATTCCCACCAGAGTGCTGCACATATACGTGTTATAGACCAACCAACACAAGCAGCCTCCAGACCACTACGAAAACCCCCTTAGAAGAAGGTAACTTACAGAGCTTAAGGAGCTCAGTGCCAGAGGAAAGAGGAAGTAATCCTTAATAATGTCAGCTGCATATAAGGAGTTCTTTGATGCATCACAGTAACTAAACAGTATGGAACAGAGTCACCAGACCACCACCTTCTGCATCAAGTATTACTGCAACTAATTCCGTTGCAAACCCTTGACATTTCCAAGTCAAATGACTCTAGCATTAGAAGATAATTAAAAAGTAGTTCACAAATCAAATCTTCTAACCACAGGATCAGGTTGGACAAGTCCCTGTGAGTACGTGATGTCGTTTTACACCTTGTCCTACTCATCCTGCATGGCCACTGGTGAAGCTGCTCCAGTGGCAGTAGTTTGACAACATCCCTTTGAGTCTCACTGAAGGGGCACAGCAGCATAAGCTTGCACTGTTCAGGATTTAAGTTTGAATTTTTATCAGTACTAGCAAAACAGGCAAGTTTCACTTCCCATGGGATCAAGTACAGTTATTTCTCTGCTCTTCAATGTCAATGTAGTCCAGACTGTTGGAAAATATTAAGCAGCTTAAAACTTTGTCAGCTGAAAGCTGCATTTCATTCCAAAACTTGGTTTTGCTTTGTTTTACTTCCCCACAATGCTGTCCTGGTTTAGGCTGGGATAGGGTTCATTTTCTTCTAGTAGCTGGTGCAGAGCTGTGTTGCGCCTTTAAGCCTGAGACTAATACTGATAACAGACCCATGTTTTAGTTGTGCTCAGTGGTGCTTACCCTGATCAAAGACTTTTTAGTGCCTCAAGCTGTGCCAGAGAGGAGGGGCACAAAAAGCCAGGAGGGAGCAGAGGCAGGACACCTGACCCGAACTAGCCAAAGGGATATTCCATACCACAGCACATCATGCCCAATACAAAAACTGGGGGGAGCTTATCCAGAAGGGCCAGATCGCTGCTTGGGTCAGGCTGGGTATCTGTCATAAGGTGGCAAATAATAATCATAGAATCCCAGACTGGTTTGGGTTGGAAGGGACCTTAAAGCTGATCCAGTTCCAAACCCTGCCATGGGGAGGGACACCTTCCACTAGAGCGGCTTGCTCCAAGCCCCTGTGTCCAACCTGGCCTTGAACACTGCCAGGGATGGGGCAGCCACAGCTTCTCTATGCCAGTGCCTCACCATATGATCAAAGTCTTGTACACTGCCATAGAACAGGTCAGATAAAACAGGGCCGTTATCAGTTCCTCACCACCATGGCAATATCAGTTCTCAGTACTGAGGCAGCACACCCTGCTGCTCTGTCCCAGGTGAATGATAAGTATTAGCCACTAAGTTCCTTCCATGGAGAGAAATTTGTCATGCCCCTGGAGATCAGGCCCCAGGCTCCAACAGACAGAGCTGGGCTTTTTGATCCCGCTCATCCAGCCACATTTCTGAATATGAAAGTAACAAGGTCTGTCAGCTCAGGTTTAATGGAGCATGGTACTCTGGAGATTATGAAACATCTCTGCTAGCATAGATCTGAGCTTTGGACACATCCCTGCTGCTGAGCAACTCTTAATTCTGTTTTCAAGACCTTATCCTGCTGTCCTACTTCTCACCCCAGCTGAGACTCCTCCTCTGCTAACCACCAGCAGACTGACAGCCAAGAGCCTCCCTATCGCAGTTCACTACCACTTACATCTCTATCCCTCAAAACCAGGAATCCTGACTCCTGGAAAGAGTCTCTGCCTTTACAACCACTGCTTTGGAGTTCCAGGCCCCAGACCCTTGAAGCTTTTGAGGCACAGAGGTGTCAAAGTACCAAACATGAAGCTTGTACCATTAAATCCGGACTGAACACAGCCCAGCAAGTTCAAGTGCTAAGGACCAAATGACTGGCTTTCAACTACAAACAGGCAAGATGCACCTGAGTAAACTCCAACAACTCCAGACCCTACTTGGGGAAAATCCTATTTCTTAATGACAGCCCCATTTCAAACTCTTCTAGCAATCTTATCTACTCCAACAGAAGTATACCTTTAAATCTGAGCAGGTTAAACTTCTTGCTTCACAGCAAACTGAATTCCTGCTAAGTCAGTTCAACAATCTGGTGACAAGAGAGTAAAGCTTTGCCCAGTGCATCATAAACTGGCTGAGGTTGGAAGGGTCTTCCAGAGATCATCCTGTCCAATCCCCCCCAGCTCAAGCAGAGTCAGCTTAAACAGACTGCCCATGACCATGCCCAGATGGCTTTTAAGTATCTCCAACGTGGGAGACCTCACAACCTCCCAAAGCAGCCTGTGCCAGTGCTCAGTGTTTTCTGATGCTCAGAGGGACCCTCCTGTGCGTGCCTATTATCTCTAGCTCTGTCACCCTGCACTGAGCAGTCTGGCTCTGTCATTCCTGCACCTTCAAGTATTCATATACATCAATAGGAACCCCTGAGCCTCTTCAGACTGAAGAGTCCCAGCTCTCTCAGCCTGTCCTCACAATGGGAGATGGTCCAGAATCTTCATGTTCATGACTCTTCACTGGCTCTCCCCACTATGTCTTGTTCTGGGGAGCCCAGCACCAGACACATGCTCAGGTACAGCCTCACCAGTGCCAAGCAGAGGGGAAGGATCACTTCCATCCATCTGCCAGCAATACTCCTCTAGTGCAGTCTCCTTTCCAGCAAGGACAACATCCCTGGGAAGCCACCCAAGCAGCTACATTGAAGTTGTAAGAGATGTGGACTACAAGAATTAAAGTTTCGCTCAGAGCCCTAACTCAGCACATGTGGAAAGACTGGTCCATGCTATGTGACAAAGCCATGCCAAGCAAGTTCAGTCAGGTTGCTGGGTACTTGAGAATTCCCACCCAGTATGTCTTGGTGAAGCCACTTTTAACACCTCTAATAGCAGCACCACAGAAAATTACCACTGCACTGGACATAGAAGTGGGGAGAAGTGGGGACAGGACAGCGTAAGTCAGCCTGATCTTTACTGAAGAACTACTTGAGTTCGGTGTTAACTCTTGCCAATCGACACACCAAAAGCAAAAGCAAGCTGGATTTCCCCCAAAATTGCTAACAGTTGTAATTGGGTTAAACCTCCTTATTCTCCTGTTAAAGGCAATGGGAATTTCCTATTTATGCAGACTTTGAGGTAACACGTTTAAGCCTACACATTCTGCTTAAGCTTTGGAGTTTAAATCAACCACCAAGGTGTAGTTAAGGCTGTATTTTGAGATTATTTATTCTCCACTAAGTATTCTTTAAGGAACACTTACTCCAGAATTAATACAAGGAAGTTAGCTATTCTACTGAGACTCCCAGTGCTTCAGAACCTGTTTCAACAGGCCTAGGAGGGACAAACATTGAGAGACAGAACAAGACCCCGAGATGTAGTCACCTCTAATACCCTGTCCAAGAGCTCTCCCTCTGTAAGCAACTTCACAAAGGGAAAGTTCCTTCTTTACTTAGTGGTCTGAAACAGAACTGCTCATATTGCCTAAGCTCAGGCCTGCAATACCTCTCCCAGCAAACAGGGCAGCTTCCCAAGCTAGAGCCTTTGGGAGCAACCCACTAACCTCCAGAGTAAGCAGCCAAGACCCCACCTTTACCACTTCACTGGGATGATGGAGTAGCACTAATGTGACTTCTCAGTCTTTCCACCAAGAAAGTAGCACTGTAATTTAAAAGGAAGTAGCACAGAAAGGCCACATTAATCCCACAGCTTACACCAAGAGGAAGATAAAAAGGAGTTCAAGGCAAAAAACAGGAGATGTTAAAAGCACATCCCAACTGTATCTGGGTTGCAGAATGAAATTTTAGACCTTCTTTGTGAGGGATGTACCATCCCTGGCAGTGTTCAAGGCCACACTGGACAGAGCTTGGAGCAACCTGCTATAGTGGAAGGTGTCCATACCCGTGTGGCAGGGGGTTGGAACTGGATGAGCTTTAAGGTCACTTCCAACCCAAACTATTGTAGGATTAAAGCTAACAGCCATTCATAGGCAGTCCCTTGATGCCCTTAACTAGCCTCTGAAGTTCTTACCCCATCTTCCAACTCTAATTCCAGTCTTCCCTTATCTTCAAACATGCCTATTTAGTCATTTCAGCCTCTCTAAAACATGACTACAAGCATCCAACTATGGCACTCTAACGAATCATACAGCAATTTACCCAAAAAACAATGGATGCCAGGACTTAGTACTAACTTAATGCTTCTAACAGTAGCCAGTACCTGACAGGAAGCACTTGTAAGGAAAGCTGTATTACCCTGGCAATCGGTCCCCCTTTTCTGACACCACTTCTTTAGCTCTTTCAACTCACAGTAAAGACTTTCAGAGCTTCATGCACAAGCAGATTCACTGACATCAGACTACTCAATCTTTTGCCTTTCCATTTATTTCTATAAATTGAAGCCTTTAGCTAGACAGGGAAGGCTGGAACATCCATGAGCTCAGTAAAAGGGAGCTAGTTATGATGTCCAAGACAGGGGCATCAGGAGCCATCTGTCTGAACCAAGAAGTCTCCAGGAACATCATATGTGGCTGGAGAGAAGAATTACAAGCAACAGGACAGCCTCACAGGGCTGGGACACCAAGACGAATATGCTACAATTAAATGTGATAACTGCAGTATTTGATTACAAAGACACTGTGAAGCTATGAAGTATGCTCAAGTTGTGAAGCTATGAAATGCTCAAGATATGGTCCATGCAGAGATCCAAAACTAGTGCTCAATAGCCACGGCTTGAGCTACAGTTTCAACAGCCAGAAAAATCAGTAAAATGCAAAGGTCTTCTTTCTAGGCGTTTAAAGCTTCCTATTCACATCACACATGAATACTGATCTAAGAGGCAAAGGATGGATTCCAGTGCCCCACAGGCTAACAGAGCTCACAGGGACCAAGATGTTTTCAGTTGAATATTAAGACAGTGCAAGCTAGTTAAGTTTTAATGTGTGTTTTAGCAGTCCCTGTCATTGAAAGCTCTGTTAGAAAGTGACCAACATGGGTGTTCTGATGTTCCCCTTAAGATAACCAAGAACCAAGCAGCTTTAGTGTTTTTTTCAAAGCCACAGCTGTTTGCCTCCATCCTTTACTTGGTTTGCAGTCTTCCACTGACATAGGTCAGGTTTAATCTCTGGCTTTAAGCTAAGAGTGTTCAGAACCTGAGGTGAGGTGACAAGACTGTGGAACTCAGGAGACACGAACAGGTTTTTACATTCTAAATCCAAGTGAGTAAATCATTTCAGCAGAGTAAAATTCAATAAGTATTGGAAGTACCTTTTGAAATAGTTAGTGCTGGGGACCACTGTGATCGTAGAATATCAAGACAAATGCTGCCATTACTGTTAATATTTGGATGATAGATTCTTGTCGTAAATGCAACCTGCAGAAGAAGGAGAATTTCAGTGTAGGCTCACAAACATACATGACACCACACAGCAATAAATAGATTTCCAGCATAAGGCACTCACCTTAGGTGGTTTGAAGGGATAATCTGTTGGGAAGTGAATTGTCAAGAAGAATACTCCACCTTGATAGGGACTGTCATTCTGTTAGTGAGAAAGAATCATTGCAGGTTGAGGAGTTAGTACAAGAAGGCTCATCAGAAAGAGCTAGGAACATCAATTCTCTTATACTTACTGGTCCCATTATTGTAGCTTGCCAATGGAACACTGCAAAAGAGAAAGATTTACTTCAGTTTGGAGAAGCTCAAGTAATGAACTACTTTCTTCCAGACAAAGCAGCACAGAAAAGCCCATTTTAAAAACAAAGCCTTTTGAAAGGCTGCAGGAAGCAAGCCAGAGAATTAAACAGAGTGAAGTACCCAACGCTCCACAGACACTTGCTCCACACATTTTTGAGATTGCTGTGGTACCTCACACATGTGCCCTACAAAACAACCCCCTACAAAACACGTCCAGGCAGTGAAGAGTCAGCTTTCCGCCCTCAGAATTGTGAGTTCTGACTTGTAGTTTCCAATGAAACACCAGAATCAAAGCCATGTTCCTAACAACTGCCCTCTTGGAGCAAGCATGACCTCACACCTTTGCGAGGCAGGATGTCTCTTACACAGATCCAGAGTCAAATGGAAAGTTAGCCCAAGCTTCGTATGTACCATATGTACAGATATGGCCTAAACCAGTGGTATCTTGACTGAATCTTCAAGTTCAGCCTCCACAGAGGCCTCAAGATTTCATGAAAGCAGCAGGAAGCAATACAAGGCTTAAGAGAATTCAGGACTGATGGTCTCCACTCAACACTGGGGACCAGGTTTAAGCACTTCAGATTAAATGGACAAAAATCAAGTCTCACTCGTATGCATCTGTCCAAGAGAACATCTTAATGTGGTAATACAGAAGGTTCGTGGAGAATGTTGTTATGCTGCAGAACACAAGAAAAACAATCAAAGCTGTTAATCTGTATGAGGCACAGCAGGAAGTTCTTGGTGCTCTCCAAAGGCTCTAACATTAGCCTGCTCAAGGAGCACCAAAGTAATAGATGAGTTGTGAACTAGCACCATGGGAAGTTTCCCTCTGGGGAACCGTACACAAGACTCCAGTTGTTGCAAGGTGAGTCTTCAAGCCACAGAGTTGCAGCTCTGTATTTAACTTGCAACTGGTGTCTACAGCATCCAGGACTGCCTTGGCCAAAAGTAACTCTGGCCCTGAGTGGCACTGCTTGTTCTACTTGAGCATGAGCAGGCTGTAATTACAAGTGATACAGGCATAATATACATACTCCCATAAATGGGAGTGATCTCATACAAGGAAGGGAGGAAAAACAGAACAGGAACAGCCCTGCTGAGGCAAGGAGAGAAGAGCATTTGGTTAGAACAGGAGGTTTGGTACAAAGGGTACTGCAGCTGGTGACATCAGGTAGCTCCTGAGAAACTTCCTTCTACAGTCAGGAAATCAAGGCAGAGGGTCACGGAGAAGAGAAGGCACTGGGAAGATCTTAGAGCAGCTCCCAGTGCCTAAGGGGGCTACAAAAAAGCTGCAGAGGGGCTTTGGACAAGGACCTGTAGTGACAGGACAAGGGGAATGGCTTTAACCTGCCAGAAGGGAGACTGAGATGAGCTCTTAGGCAGAAGTTCTTCCCTGTGAGGGTGCTGAGGCGCTGGCATAGGGTGCCCAGAGAAGCTGTGGCTGCCCCATCCCTGGCAGTGTTCAAGGCCAGGTTGGACACAGGGGCTTGGAGCAAGCTGCTCTAGTGGAAGGTGTCCCTGCCCATGGCAGGTGGCTGAAACTGGATGAGCTTTAAGGTCCCTTTAACCCAAACCATTCTGGGGTTCTATGTGCTCCTATGTAGTGTTCACCCATGTTAAAAAGGGTTCAGACAGCTTCACAGTAAGTTCCCACCACCTGCAGCAGGACAGTGAGAAACCCAAGAGGACACAGGGGCAGCAGAAACCCAGCAGTGAAGGTTGTGGCTAGTCACAGGAAAACCACCAGGAATTTCACAGGCATCAGCAGATGCTGCAAGATTCACAAAGCACAGGACCTTAACCTGCACAGCCCTGCACCCTGAGAAACCAGTATAACCAACTACTGCCTAAAACCCAAGGAGCAGCCAGAAAGAAAAACGCATTCACAGTGAATCTTAGCATCTTACAAGCCAGAAGTGTGGTTTGTTTGGATTCCCCCCTCAGCTCCACTCCAGACTCAAGGGAAGTGCCTGTCTAACCTCAGCTTTAGATGCTCTGAACATCCAGGACAAGTGTGATGTGCTCTGAACCCAGAGGGCTGGCATTCTGACCAGGCAGGTGAGGCACAGGGACTCTGAAAAGGTACCTTTCTGTTGCTGCCTCTGTTATCCACTGCCACACACCCAGTGCTGTGCTCAGCAATCAAAGTCTTTCATTAGAGATCCTTCAGAAAGGTGGCATGAGGAAGAGAATTGAATATTGCTTTAAAGCCTTCTGAATCCTGCAGTAACTTTTCATTATAAGCATTCAGCAACCTATGTTACCACTTCTTCCACCAGACAAGCTCTGTCTCCATCACCTCTGAGAAGTCCTTAGAAACCGCACAGTTTTACCATGGCACAAAGGACACTTGCCCCATACTGGCTCTACAACTTGGTCTTTTCTCTTCCATGAATCTATCAGCTTCTTTGAAATACTATCTGGAAAGCAGAACTAAGCTGCGCAGTAACCAGAAGCAGTCTGACACTACTGCTAAAACTCTCGAAGCCAAACACAGCTTCTACCTCTCAGTCCTGTCTGCACTCCTTTCAGTACTCTCATTCTCAGGTTTCAAGTGCCTTTTTTAACCTATCCTAGGTATCTATAGAAAAGTGCACATTTCTGTAACACTTTAGCACTTCTGAAGAGTTCAGAAATGACTCAAAGATCTTGGCAGCTTTTTTCTTTTAGAAAATACCAGAGCTTAGAGCTCTCTGTGCTTAGTTAGAGGGTTTTCCTATTTAAATATCCCCTCTTCATGAGCCCAGATTCTTCACCAACAGCACACTTGTCAGAGAGCCCACATCACACAGCAAGTTCTATGCATCCCAGCCAAAGCTTCCAAGTGTTCTTAAGGAGCCTTTTCTACACAGCAGCGCTGCTATGAGAAAGAGCATAAACATATTCCAATATCTGAAGGGGGCCTACAAGGATGCTACAGAGGGACTCTTCAGAAACTGTAGCAACAGGACAAGGGGAATGGCTTTAACCTGCCAGAAGGGAGACTGAGATGAGCTCTTAGGCAGAAGCTCTTCCCTGTGAGGATGCTGAGGCGCTGGCACAGGGTGCCCAGAGAAGCTGTGGCTGCCCCATTCCTGGCAGTGTTCAAGGCCAGGGTGGACACAGGGGCTTGCAGCAAGCTGCTCTAGTGGAAGGTGTCCCTGCCTATGGCAGGGATTGGGAACTGGATGAGCTTTAAGGTCCCTTCCAACCCAAACCAGTCTGGGATTCTATGACTCCCTGATCTCAGGCATTTTATGCATTAAGTACCAATGCAAGTACCTGAATCCACCTTATCGCTCATGGTCAAGTTATAAAGCACAGAATGAATTACAAGTGTTCTGCCTCACTGCAAGCATCCCACTGATCTTGCTCACTTAAGCTATGACCAAGAGTTTAATGCTGCTATAAAAAGTAGTTCACCAGAAAGTGCAAGATCCTGGTTAATGTGGAGGAGAGCACAGAGCTTGCAAAGCCACTGCACTTTAAAGGCCTCTCACAGAAAACTACCATAAAGCACAAGGCAGCAATTAAGTTGCCTTACTCACAGCTCATCAAAGCTGAGTGGTGCACATCACCTACAACTAACACTAAGGAGCATCCATATAAACACTATTAAGTCAAGTCTTGCCCTCCTCCCTAGGAAAAAAAAAAACCACACATGTACAAGGTGTCCCTGCCCACGGCAGGGGGTTGGAACAAGATGATCTTAAGGTTCTTTACAACGCAAACCATTCTGTGATTCTAAGATGACAGCAGACCTTGCCATAAAAGTGAGTTAAAAGAAGTCAGGGTAGGACTTTAAAGCAGGAAAAAACTCCAAAGAAACCAAAACACTATTATGCTTTCACACAGATCCTCAGCTTCAAAGGGACAGAACAACTTCAAATCGTACACCAGGGGATTACAGGAACAGCCAGGTATGGTCCCAGGCTACCCTTACATGGAAGCTGGCAGGACCAACTGAGCTGAGCACAGATCTCGCACATAACAGCACTGTGTGCTTTAGGAAGTACAGGTGGAGCCTCCCCATCTCATACCCAAGCAGCTGTGTCCAAACCAAAGCAGGATTTGGCAGTGTTCAAGACCAGGTTGGACAAGGCTTGGAGCAACCTGCTCTAGTGGAAGGTGTCCTTGCCCATGGCAGGGGGTTGGAACTGTATCAGCTTTAAGGTCCCTTCCAACACAAGCCAGTCTGGGATCCTGCAGTGCAGACATCCTGATTCTTCTTATGGAGAAAGCCATGAATAAAATTGCAAATTGAGTGAAAACCTGGCTAAAAATTAATAAATTAATCTAACACTTCATGAGTTAAGCTGTAATTTACTTTTTCCTGCCATTCACATTTTAACCTCTTACAAACAAGGGCTGCATGTAACCCTCTTACAACACAGTGTTAACTCCTTGTAAAATACAGTTAACCCTGACCTTGCTGTGGTAGCAGCTAGTGCTAGGAGTAGATTGTTTTACTTCTACAGGATGTTGACTACACCACATCCAGTTCAGACACCAAAGTAGCTCAGAAGCTGTGTGCAGCTGGTTGGGCCCCAGAGCTACTGAAGTGCAGTAACCACATCCTGTGAGTGCCAGAATAGTTAATTCTAAAGGTGTAATTTAAGGTGTTCTCAGTGCACAGAGTTCTCAATTAATAACACAGGAGTAACACATACCTCCAGTGATACACAGGAAGGTGTTAGATACAGAAGAGGAATACAGTTAAGATTAGTATGTGGAGTGGGATGTAGTACTTTAAAAAAAAGCAACAGTAGGGTTCTCCTTGCTCAGGAACTGGACATCCCATCTTAGAAGGGGGAAGACAGAGCCAGCAGGTTGCTGACAGCAACATACTTACTGTCATCACCAACAGGCCCTGCTGAACACTGTGCTGGAGGATCACGTGCCAGGTCATTCAACTCCTGAAAAACACAACAGATGTTAGCAATAAAGCAGCTACTGGTGGCGCTCCTGCTCATGACCATGAAGCTCACAATGGTGAGTTTCCTGAAACCACGAAACTAATAGCCCAGGAAGCAAAGGTGCATCTTAAACCCGTGTAATACATTTGGTACGTGCCTCAGTTATCTCTCCAAGATTCCACACAATATTAAGTCACAACAATCCTTATCAAGCCATAGGGTCTGTCAGGTTTGCTTTCACTGAAAGAAGAACTTACAAGATCCCACTATTCCCAAGGTGTTACATATCCTACAATCTCTAAGAGCGAAGATGGCCTCAATCCAACACCTCAGCATCAGCCTGATTTTATCCCCTGCCCTGGAACAGCTCTAGGGTGGCTCCAGCTCATGAACAGATGATCTCTGGGAGTTCCAGCTTCTAATTCCCAAGAATTGGGAGGTCACCACTAACCAAGCCCTCTTCTGTCACAAGACAGGAACACTGCCCCACAGCAAACAGGTAACCTCAGGATTTCCCCCTCAGTATACACTCCCCTAAACTGTCTTGCAATAGAGATAAAGCTCCCCATGCCATCACTACTGCAGAGCAGACACAGCTTGGGTTTGCTCTCAGCAGCTCCCAGCTTCTGAGAAGCCCACCTGAAAGCCTCCTGACTTGACCCCAGACTGCTGAAGCTTGCCTCATGCTCCTCCCAGGGCTGACCCAAGTAAAGCTTGCTCCCACACTTCACGGTTCAGCATGGACCTGGACAGGAGCAGACATTAAGCATGCAGCACCTGCTGAAGAGCCTCCTGAATGTGAAGAGCACTTTCAGATACACTCCAAAGAAGGAAAGTTCTTGGGAGTTGTCAGTTATACATGGCAATTCAGAGTAGCCAACATTAGCTAAATAGGATCCCCTCTTTACCTCCTGGTTGCAAGTACATGGTAGCATTGAGATCACTCACAGCCTCTCACTCCCCACCACCACCAGCACACTTCACCCACTGCCCACTTCTGATTTACCTCCAGAACATTAAATAGACTGAGTATCACCCTCAGCAACAGAACGCCCTCCACCCAGAGAAGTGCATGTGCTACAGAAGCTTTTAGTCAGTGCCAGTCTTAAAACCACACAGCAGCAGCCAGGCCTGTGCTGTGCTTCAGCAGGCCAAGAGACAGCCCATGCAGCCAGGGCAGCAAAGGAACCAGCACCCACTGACACAAGCAGCCAGCACCTGAAGGCCACACATCCCCTTCATGGGGAGTCAAGGTATGGCCACACAGAATTAGGTGAGTATCCACATGCATCAATGTGGAAACATGGGTATGAAAACAAAAGCAGGAATAGCCCTGCTCCTTCTGAAGGTGTAGATAGTACAGTCCCCTTCCAAATGCAACCGACTCCAATCTTCCGGAAAAAAACAACTTAATGCTACAGTACTCAAAGCTCCAAACACAGCTATAAAACCACATCTAAACCTCCCTTCCTTACCTGTTCTCAATCCCTTCACTCCTGTTTTATGCATAAAAACACTAGACTCAGGAATACAACTAAACCTACATTTTCCATGCAGGATCACAACTTACTATGGATTATGTTTAAGAACCCAGCAGGGCCCTTCCCTACTACCAGCTGTTGGAACACACAGCCCCAAAGCTGCCCTGACACCCTCCATCCCACTGCTCCACCAGCCCAGATGACACAACACACCTTCAGTGGTACCCAAGCTAAGTCTCACAACTGCAGCCACAGTAACAATGAAGTTCAGGCAATAGCAGACTTGTTTCTCATCAAAATACTATTTCTCTCTCTTCACTTACAGTTAGAAGGAATACCTTGGTTTTCTGTGGCTGCATACGACAGCTCCCTGGGAAGAGATGACTTACAAACTCGCACCACTTGTCTCAGTGACACTGCACTCACCTGAGGCTGCATTTCAGGTTCTGCTCTATAAATTCAGAGAGTGTATTCCCAGCTTTAAGCTCCTCACATTGGAGAAGTTTAGCAACAACCCTCAATTCCAGGCCCTGCAATACAAACCCCCTTGGTTTTGGTAGAAACCAGCAACCTGGGTGACAACGTAATGGTTTAACCAGCACGAGGCACCTCTGGAGCGCAGGTACCAACCACAGCAGTGCCTCTACACACCCAAGAGATGAGCACATCACTGGAGCTCTTGCAGGGCACAGATGACAGCTTTAAGGAGCTGCTCATATGCTCACTCACCTGTCAGACCTGCAGAGCCAGGTTTCAGAGCAGGAATGGTAACTGTACAGACCCAGGCACAAATGCAGAGGAGCAGCTGGTGCTGCAGCACAGTGCCAAACTCTTGTATCTGACAAAGAGGGCATTTTGCCTTTTGGAAACTCCTGTGCAGCTTTCAAGGTCCTGCAAGCACAACACCAGAACTGGCAAGGTCTTTGCTTCCAGAACTTGCTGGGGGACACTGAGACAAGCCAGTTTGTAACTCACAACAACTAACCCCACAGAAAAACAAGAACTCAGAATATGTTGAGGAGTCAATGACTTTGGTATCATCTACAAACCAGCCGTAAGACATTAGGCAGAAGTTCTTCCCTGTGAGGGTGCTGAGGCGCTGGCACAGGATGCCCAGAGAACCTGTAGCTACCCCATCCCTGGCACTGTTTAAGGCCAGGTTGGACAGGGCTTGGAGCAACCTGTTCTAGTGGAAGGTATCCCTGCCCATGGCAGAGGGGTGGAACTGGATGAGCTTTAAGGCCCCTTCCAATCCAAACCAGGCTGATTCTATGATTACTACATGAATCAGATCCGAAGCTGCAAGGCCTGTGCTCTGGTCAATGATCAAGTCTGATCTTGACAACACCGATTTTAAGCCAAGGCCTGAAGAAAGCCACAGCTGGTTCCATCCAGGACAGCTTCAGAGCCTTAAGCACATGCAGAAGACTTTGCTTTAGGAACTTAAAAGCAAAGACTCAAGTGGCCTTTAGCTGAAGTCTGTTTGAGCTCTCAGGTCCCAGGAGGTGACCTCACCATAAGGCTGCAAAGCCAACCTACAGAGCTCACCATTTCTGCCACCTCCTCTACAGCAAATCACCCTTGTGCTGAGCCACTGCTGCACATCATAGCATGAACTCGATCCATCTCACAGTTCAAAATATGTGTTAGTTCCTCAGCAAAAATGAGGAAGTGGAAGCAAAGCAAAGGTCAGGGTGTCTCACCCCAAGGCCAAGCTGAGTGAAACCACCATCACACCCATGAACCAGTACACTGAATGCTACATAATTCACACAAACTGCTAGTTAGGTCTAAAAGCAGGTTTAATTGTGTTCCTAAGTTCCTAACAAAACAAACTCCTACACAAGGCTTCCAGGAAAGCCTTTTCCTGGAATCTCATTTGGCAAACACAAAGAAGGGGGGAAACTGCATTGAGAGCAGCCTTAAGAAAAAGGACTTGGAGATGCTGGGTGATGAGAAGCTCCCCATGACCCAGCTTCAGTGTGCACTTGAGCTCAGAACTCCCCCACCATGTGCTGGGCTGCACTCCCAAAGTGTGAGCTCTGGCAAGCATGAGAATGGTTGAGCATGAGCATGATTCCCAGATCATGCCACAGACCCCCTCATGAAAGGCATCTGTGAGGCCTCAAGGGCACAGAGGATAGCCAGTGCCACATCTCACCCAGACCCACATCACCCTCTCCCAGCAGCACCTCCCAACAGCCAGCACATGGCATTCAAATTGTACCTTGCTCAGGTACATGCACAAGAAGTTTTTAAAGCACATGAAACACAAATATTTGAAGTCCTACTTTAAATGTTAACCCTGCACGCATTTCAGGTTATAATCAAGCTGTAATTAAGTTTTAATTGTAAACTGCAAAGCCATTTGTTGAAGAAGCTCGTTCATTCCTCCAGACAACAATTCTCCCCCATCTAACATACTCCTGGAAAAGAGCTGCTCTGGCCAGAAGATAAGGACTGGTTTTAAGGATTAATGAATGCTAATACAGCCTTCAGAAAGAATAACTAATGTAACTGGCAACCACCAGGCAGCCTACTGAGCAAATAAAACATCAGCACCCTTTAGTAGTCAGTGGCAGCAATGCTGGGAGACAGTAGAGACCCCAGACAAAGTCCTGCACACCAGCTGAGCACCTCCAAAGAGCCAGACATTATCCAAAGGCCTTCCAGCTTAGGCTCCACAGTCTTCCATCCCTACTCCAGCTTGAACTGGTTTCAAAGTGTAATTTCGTCAGGGACCACATCATTAGCTTGATTATAAGCCTGATCTTTGCCTCAGGTTGCAGCTGTAAGTGAAACAAGCTTTTAATCTGACTTCAAGTTTATCTGCCTGAAGGCCCTGACCCCCTCCTGTGAAGTGCTGCGTTACAAAATGAGGACTTCACAAACCAAAAAGGAGCTTCCAGACACTTAGCTATGAACTGACAGCAGCTCTCAACAGAGCAGTGCCAAGCAACATGGAATCTAGGCCTTGAACCCACCACACATTCCACTCTACTTGCCAAGCTCACACCAAGGTCACACCACCCACAGGTGCTCTCCTGGTCTACAGGACTCATGTGATTCCAGAGCATCTGCATTCTAAGGCTCCTATCCCTGTGAGCAGAAGCATTTGAGTCTCCATAAAGACATTAATCCTTTCCCCTTTGACAAAATCTGCTTTTTCAATGCTTGAAATCCACTGAGTGACTTCTTTCAGGATTCTACAGAAGTCAAGGATAGAAGGTAAGTGAGCAGCACAGGAAGAGTCAAACTGCATGAAGTACAATAAGCAAGGTACAGGTTAGAAACAAGCTCTGCTGCAACTGTCACCTTTCACTTTTGCTCTGTTAAAGCCTGAACAGCAGGAAGAGCTAAGTGTAACTTCCACCTGGAGCAGAATCAGAGTTATCAAATGCTTTGGCTGGCCAAGAGAAGCTCCACTAATACTCTGTGTACTAGGGACACAGAAGAAATTGGACACAGATGGGCTGCGCTGGCAGCTCCCCGAACACAGCAAGAAGCCGGAACGGAAGCACCACATTGTTCCCCCTGGCTACTGTAAAGCTACAGGCACAGAAACACCACCCTGCTCGGCACAGGTAACACACATACCATCACCAGCACTGCTCAACCTACCAAACACCCTGACACAGCCCAGCCAGGGGCAGGGCTTGGATAAAGTGATGCTATAGCATCTCAGGTCAAACAGCTCTGGGATACAAGCAAGTCCATCATCTCCTGCAGTGAACAAGGACTTCTGTGGAATATACAGTTCAGTTCTGCAAAGCACTACCTGCTGTTTGGGTCTCTACATTATAAACCACCATTCCTCTGCTGCAAGTAAGGATTTTACTTCAGCAGGGCAGCAGCACAACTTCCCATGTCCTATTCCCTCTTGCTGTATAGGCTAGAGGAGAATGGATGGAGCAGCCTCGAGAAGAACATGGGGATTTGGCTGAGAAGCTCCCCATGACCCAGCTTCAGTGAACACTTGAGCCCAGAACCCCACCGTGTGCTGGGCTGCACCCCCCCCAGAGGGTGAGCAGCAGTCGAGGGAGGGGATCCTGCTCCTCTGCTGTGCTCTTGGGAGATCCCCCCTGCAGTCCTGATCCAGCTCTGGGGCAACAGCACAAGAGGGATGTGGAGCTGCTGGAGCGAGTCCAGAGGAGGCCACAGAGATGCTGCGAGGGCTGGTGCAGCTCTGCTCTGGAGCCAGGCTGAGAGAGCTGGGCTGGCTCAGCCTGGACAAGAGAAGGCTCCTTAAGGGGAGGAGACCTTAGAGCAGCTCCAGTGCCTGAAGGGTGCCTACAAGAAACCTGGAGAGGGGCTTTGGACAAGGGCCTGTAGGGACAGGCCAAGGGGAATGGCTTTAACCTGCCAGAGGGGAGATTGAGATGAGCTTCTTAGGTAGAAGTTCTTCCCTGTGAGGGTGCTGAGGTGCTGGCACAAGGTGCCCAGAGAAGCTGTGGCTGCCCCATCCCTGGCAGTGTTCAAGGCCAGGCTGGACACAGGGACTTGGAGCAAGCTGCTCCAGTGGAAGATGTCCCTGCTCGTGGCAGAGTGTTAGAGCCGGATGAGCTTTAAGGTCCCTTCCAACACAAACCAGCCTGGGATTCCAGATTTCTGTCAGGTCCACCAATTTCCTACTGGGCAGCTCATAGGAGACAGTGAACTCAGATTTTACTTGCTCTCTCATTCAGAGATCTCCCAGGAGTGCCCCAGTTACCCACTGTAACTGTGGCATATCACACCAGGTAATGCATTTGCTAAGGATAAGCCACATACATGGGGATGTGCTGAACCCAAATTGTTTCAGCCCAAATCCTGAAATGGAAGCCACTGGCTATGGTCCTCCAGTATCACACCCATCCTGCCCCCGCATAGCTTCTCATGGCACTTCTTATAACAGATATCCATCAAAATAGATCATTATGTATAAAAGTAACAATGAAGCTGTCCTTCACTGTTACCCCCACACTTGTGGCTGGTGTCATTACTTACACCCCAAACATTTCTCACAAGACAAGAGTCCCAAGCTTGACACCTGCAAACCAGGAAGTGCCCGAGCTGACTGCTGGAATGCTGCAGTGAATAACACAAGCAGCATCGCAACATCAGACCTCAAGTCTTGAGCTTTTGGAGCATCTGCTTAAAGAACAGCTGCTGCTTCACGTGGACATGTCTTGAGTCTCTGGACAACCCCAAGAGCAACCAGACACACGGGGACAGACCACAGGGCTCCTGCACACACCCCAAATACCACTTACAGCCACCAAGAACTCCTTGTCCTGCCCCTCTTCCTGCCCAGGAGAGTTCAACATGCAGGGGGCCATTTCAGGTAACACTGTATTAAATGTTTACTCTTAAGATTTTCTGCTTGTTTCCAAGTTCTCATCCCTGTCTTATCCAAGGACACAGAGTTGGGAGAAAACCTCACAGTCCATGGCCAAGCATGAAACCCAAACTGCCCCAGCACAAGAGGCAGTGGCAAGCTTGAGACCTGAACAAGGTTGACAATACCCTCTTACAGTGCCTGAGCAGCAACTTTCCTTCCCATTGCTTCTTTGTGCTCAAGTCTACCGGGATTATTTCCACTCCATCCACATTTTGCAGGCTTTTGTTCCCCCCTCAAGGTACAACAGCAAAGGTCAGACACTCCCCATTCCCCTGTTGTCCTGGCAGGGCTGGTCACTCCACACAGACACCAGAACAAAAACAAGAGGATACTAACCTCTCCATAGGCTTAAAATAGCTGGAGTGTAAACAGGGAGTGATCCCCACTGAAGCAGTTAACAGGCACCCACAGCAGCTCAAATTAAGAGTGCTCCTTCTAGCCTGTAGCTTAACTCCCGTCTAACTGGTAAAGCACCAGAGTAAGTGGGTTTATTTCCTTTCACGTACTTGATTGGATATGTTGCCTATAGCCTCATCACCTCCTCAACAGCCACCACACTTACTCCACTGAAACACTTGGGACTTTGCAGGGCTCCATATACACAACTGCTTTGGCAACGCTCTCGCTACTTCCCAAGGCTCTAAGCACTCTCCAAACCTCATACAGTTCCCATTATCCCTGAGGATCCTTCATCTCTCACAAGCAGCACACAACCACAGTCCACAAGAAGCCAATGGTAACAAAGACTCGACACATTCAGCTTCTCTCTTGTTCAAAGCCACAGACTAGAAACAAAAGTGATTCAAGAGTGTTGAATGCTGAACACCAGCATGCACTAAATTCTACTAAAGCAGCATTCCTGCTTCCCAATAGAAGCAGGACCCTCCCCACTAAATCCTCACACTACCCATGCATCCCCCCCACTCCCCCTCAGCCAAACTGATCCCCCTTCAGCAGTCACTGCAGTGTACTGAGTATCACTGATTACCAGTGTTTCAAACAAGCAATACTCAGAGCACAACTTCCTTACATAACCCACTACCACACGCTCATCTGGAAACTCCAGTACACAAAAACAATACTCCAAATCCTCCCTTCCCACCTCTACCTACTCCTCAAGGAAACACAAGCCTTCAAGCTCTCCTATTTTCTTCTCCACCTCAGCTTTGAGTCAGAATGAGACACGAAGCTTCACAGAAACGTCAAGATAACCTACAGGCAAAGCAAAGAGGTTAACACACAGTCCAACACTGCACACAGGGCAAAACAGAGCTACCACACTGATCTTACACATCAAGTACTGGATTCGCATCTGGTTCTAGTCCAAAACCAGATTTACACAGCAATGGAGACCAGAAACCCTCTGACTAGGCTGATGGCTACACCTGAGCCTGAGAGGGAGACTCCAAACAGACAGCTACACGTTTAGTGAAGAAGAGGATATAAATTCCCTGCCTGACTCACCAAGGCAATGGAAGTGTACTGCAATAACCCTCTTTTGCCAGGTAGGAGACAGAACGATGATGGAGCAAAGTACAGTTTTCAGTCCTCAAGGGGCTCAGCAGCAGTACTGTCCTGAGAGAGGCAGACACTAACCAACACCCTCCTGCTCCGGGAGCAAGCACCTCGCCTGCCTCTCCCTATGAGCCTCCAGCTGACTCCGGCTATAGAGCAGCACCGGCTCCATTGAACACCAAACCGCACCGCTGCGACCGGCGGTGACAAGCTCTGCGCTCCCCGAGGAGGGAAGAGAAGGCCCTTCCACCGCGGAGCTCCCGCCCCGGCCACGCCAGAACATGCAGCGCGGGCGGGTTCCCGCTTCCCGGGCTCCTCCTCCGCTGTCCCCACGCGTGTCCCGCTCCCCGCACCGACACCCCCCCACCCGCTTCCCCCTCGCCGCAGCAGCTGCCGGCGGCCGCTGCCCACCCCCAGGCCCCGCCACCGGCGCCCCCTCGCGGCCCCAGGCCCGGGGGCCACGTTGCTTCGGAAGGGCCCGACCGCGGCCTCTCGGCGACTGGGGCGGGAGTGAGGCGAGCCCCGGGGCAAGGCCCCGAGAGAGCTGGGGGGGAGGGAGGGGGGGGACCCCGCACAACGCCCCCCGGGCCCACAGCGCTGACGGGAGCCGGGCGCTCCCCCCCTCCATCAGGCAGGCCCGACGGGTCCCCGCGCCTCTGGGGGAGGGCCCGGCCTGGCCTTTCCCCCGCCACCAGCTCATCCTGCGGGCCCGGGGCGACTGCGGCGGCCGTGCCGGGTTATGTAAGGCGGACGCGGGTGCGGGCGCGGTGCGGGCGGCGGCGGGGCCCAGCCCGGCCCTCCTCTTACCTTGTGGATTCTCTTCAGCGCCATTGTGTGCGCGAGGCGGCGAGGAGGGGCGGGCGGGGAGGGGGCAGCCGCGGGGACTATTTTCCGAGGGGGAGGGGGGGAAGGAGGAGCGCGGAGGTGGCGCGGATGAAGAAAAGAGAGGGGGAAAGAGGAGGAGGGAAAGGGGGGAGGGGAAGGAAAAAGAGAAGGGGGGGAAGGGAAGGAGGGGGAAGGGGCCCCCCCGGAGGCGGCGGCGGGCGGGGGCCTGCGGCGGCCGGGGCTGGCGCGCTGCTCCCTGGCCGCTGCGCTGGAGCTCGGTGCCGCAGCTCCTACCGCATCCCTCCGCCGACCCTTTATGCGCTGGCGCCTCCTCTCTGGCCTTCCGCGTATCACTCCGCCGCGGCGCACCGACCCCCGCCGCTCTTTGCTGCTGCTCGTCGACGGCACGGAGGCCGCCGCCAAGACCGGGGCGGAAGCGAACCGAGGCCGGGGCGGGATCGAAAGGGGAGGGACAGGCAGGAGAGAAGGAGGAGCAGGGGGAATAGCCAGACGTGGAGTGGGACTATTTTCCGGCGGCTGCCGTGCAGAACTCTCCAGAAGGGGGAGGGGGAGAACGCGGAAGGATACGACGGCGGTGGTGGCTGTGGCGTAGACGCCACGCTCATGACGGTGGCTTCTCGCGAGAAGACGGGGCGGGAAGAAGTTCCGGCCGCGCCGTCGCTGTGGGGATGGCCTGAGGGGGCCCGGCCCTGGTGGTCAGGCGGGGCTCAGCCGCCCGGGTACGGAACCGCCCCGGGAGATGGGGCCCAGGCCGCAGACCCCCTTCGAGTGCCATGGGGTTATACACAGGGTGCCCAGAGAAGCTGTGGCTGCCCCATCCCTGGCAGTGTTCAAGGCCAGGTTGGACACGGGCTTGGAGCAAGCTGCTCCAGTGGAAGGTGTCCCTGCCCGTGGCAGGGGGTTGGAGCTGGAGGAGCTTTAAGATCGCTTCCAACCCAAACCAGTCTGGGATTTGACGAATTCATTTTTAGGCCTGGGAGGACACATGGTGAAAGCACATCAAGTAGGCCATGGCATGGCTGTGTAATAGAGCTTTAAGCCATCACACATGCTTAAATTGTGACGGATCTCCAGTGCCACAACCAGTGTGGGGTGAAGAACACAAAGCTCAGTACCCATCAGGCAGCATGGAGGGAGTTCAAGGCTCTCCAGCAGCAACAGCACCAATAGCCGTGGTGTGCAGAGGTTTCTTCCGTCCAGGTCATTTCCATCCAGCATCTGCATGGAGAAACCCCATGGGCAAAACCAACAACTGTTCTGAGATGACTGAGCAGCTCATGGCAAAGGGACTTCATCCAGTGGTAATCCTGATGGGTACCAACAAGCTGAAGGGTTCTGTGCAGCCCTAGTGAGCCCCTGAGCCTGTAACATGTCCTCTTTGTGTAACTGCACTGTCAGAGTGTGATAACTGCCATGAACAGTCAGCTCAGAGCAAAGGGCAGCTTCCCTCCAGGTCTGAATCACAGAAACCAGTGAAGGAGGCTGGGAACAGGACGCTGCTTGGGCTAAGGAGTGCACCCAATCAAGCAGGGTTGTTCAGGCTGACAGCCAAACTGCCTGCACATACACACACCCATGGGACATCTTGTAATAGCAAGATGTTTTCAAATCTACATCAAATGAGGGCTGTTTCTGTTGCTTCTGCTTCTCTTCCTGTCACCAGCTTTGGATCATGAGATGGATCATGGGACTTGCCCTCCATCCTGGGTTTGTGGTGGGCTTCCAGTCACTTCCAGGTTGGCAGTCCTACTACCAGGGCAAGTAGGAAAATGCCAAGAGCATTTTTAATCAGGATTGGAAGATCAGACTTCCCCAAAACCCATCCAGTTTTATTCCTTTACAGGGAAGCCTGGTTTTCTATGGATTTCCCTCTTGTGTAGCTAACATTTTTAGTGGATTATACTGTTTCTCTGTTACTACCAGTCTTCCCCTCACCTGGTACTGCAGCAGGGTTAATTTTCACTGTTCTTGTCAATCTCACAGCTTCTGTGCATCTCTTGGCAGAGAGGGATGAAAGGCTCAAACAGGAGGCTTTAGAGGCTGGTGTCTTTAGCATAGGGTGTGTTTTGAGTTAATTTCTCTGTTCTCCTTCACACTTGGTATGGAGAAAATAAATCGCTGATTCATAAAAATGGTTTTTGGGGTGGTGTGTGCTTCAGTTACTTTTGTGCTTTCTGGCTTTTTCCCCTTCTGTCACCTTTTGAGTTGCTGGACACCCCTTGGTTGCAGAAGAGCAGAGAACAACCACAAGGAAGGCTGCTGTCCTTCCCAGCCACACCAGTCTCCACCAGTACGGGGAGCTGGAAATGCTCAACGCTAACCCCAAGTAGTCCTGGCCCTTACTGCTCCCCCAGTCTTGGGACAGAGACAAAACTGCTTTTCTTCCAACGTTTTTGTATAATCCCAGAATCCCAGGCAGCTTTAGGTTGGAAACCTTAAAGCTCACCCAGTTCCAACCCCTGCCACAGGCAGGGACACCTTCCACTAGAGCAGCTTGCCCCAAGCCCCTGTGTCCAGCTGGCCTTGAACACTGCCAGGGATGGGGCAGCCACAGCTTCTCTGGGCACCCTGTGTCAGTGCCTCAGCACCCTCACAGGGAAGAGCTTCTGCCTAAGAGCTCATCTCAGCCTCCCCTCTGGCAGGTTAAAGCCATTCCCCTTGTCCTGTCCCTCTCATTTTCTACTTTCTCTTGTTAGGACATCCTTCTCCCACCTACTACCTTTCTCTCTGCTTCTCTTCCACCCCACCTCCGACTTTTCCAGGTATCCTCCTGCAGGTTTCAGTCTCTTCCCACCCCTTCCCAAACAGTCCGATTGACCCATATGCACTTTTCTTTACCCTACATGAGCTCATATCCTGGTCCTCTTCTCCAAAAGGTTGAGCTCTGCTCCCCAGCACCAGAGAAGGTGCTCGGGGCTGCATCTACTCTGAGAATTCCTGGCTGTTCCCCATCCATAGCAGCCCCTGCTGCAGACAAAGCACTTATTGCTTAGGCAGGGGCTGCCTCTCCATGCTGGTGGCTACTGGCCCCTCACCCTGTACCTAAACTGGCATTTCAGGAGGCATTTCACCTGCAGCTCTGCCTTCACTCTCTCAGCCTGAAGAGCCAGGGCATTGCGGGGTCTTTTGTCCCCAGCTGTACTCTGCTCTCTGTGCCTGCCAACATCATTCTGTGCCAGCATCACCCGCTACAAACCAGCAGAGCATCACTGGAGGAGTTAGCTCAGTCCTGCCTTATCCTCACATGCCTCCATGTGTCTTTCCTTCACCATCTTCCTCTGAGCAGCTCTGCTCCACAGGGCCATCTTGCAGTGCTGTATGAGGAAAAAAGACTTAGGCATGGTTAGGCAAAGGCTCAAGAACTCAAAGGAGTGCAAACAGCCCAGCCTCACTGGCTAAATCTGATGTTCCTAGACTTTACCAACCAATGAGGCCTTTGTTAGACAGTGAATAAAGCTAAAGGAGGTAAAACACAGGTGGAAAAGGAAGGATCCCACACTTAACCACTGTTTGGTGCTTCTAAGCTCCAAAGAAAAAAATTCCCAGAACAACAGAGCTGGAGCAGTAGAGAAAGTGAAGGGTTAGGGAGAAGAAAGCTCTGCCTCTCGGGGGACAGCAGAGGACCTGCTCCCCTTCCTTGCCTCCAGAGCTGCTAAACCTTTGTGTCTTTCACAGAGAAGCCACTTTTCCCCTTGCTGGTTGGTGCTCCTGCCAGGAGCAGCTGTCTCCAGAGCAGAGCTGCTCCAGCCCTCTCAACATCTCCGTGGCTTCTGAACTCACTGCAACAGCTCCACATCCCTCTTGTGATGTTGCCCCAGAGTACATCTGCTACTCTGAGTCTGTGGCCACCAGGACCGGGCATCCAAGAGGCTGGAGGGCCTTACTGACCAGCAAGAGCGTGGCTGCAGGGAGCTCCTGCTGTTGCTGGAGTGTCCATGGGCACTGCCTCCTGAGTCAGTGCCTCCCGGAGCTGTGTGTGTACTGTGAGTCCCCCTCTCTTCCAGAAGGAATTTGCTTCTGTTTCACCCCTGGAAACCTGCTGCACTCAGTAAATTAAATCTCCATCAATTCTTGTGCTCTTCCTTACTGCAGCTTGGCTCAGCCCCGCTGTGACCTGACAGGTATGTTCAGGCTTCCCAGAAGTCACGTTTGAAACCTGCTCCATGCACCAGTGCCTGGGTTTCCTGGGTGCTGTGTATGGGCCGCAGAGTGGGAGGGCTCTGCAGGTTTGATTGCTCCTTTCATTTTCATTTTCCGTGGTGCTGGGAAGTGCAGTTCCACTTGGGGCACCACGAGCTTGCTAAGGCGCTCCAGGTCTTTGTGTGCAGCAGCAGCCACCCAGGCTGGAGCACAGCCCATGAACCCAGGTGCAGGAAGCCCAGGCAGCAGCTGGTAGCGGCTGAGGTGAGTACAACAAGGAGCACTCACTGCTCCCCCAGGCCCTGTGGCTGCAGAGCAGGAAGAGCTGGCATGAGGATGAGATTTGGGAGTGGGGTGGCCACCCAGGCCCTGCTTGCCATGCCCATTTGGGCACAGGGAGCTGCCCTGGGCAGCACACAAGGGAACCTCCCCTGAAGCAACTGCATTTCAGCAGTATGGAGAGGGCTCTGTTGCAAGCTTTGGGGTGCTCAGTGAGCGCTGGATGTTCGTGTGTCCCCCTTCTCCACTCCCCACAGTGGGTGCTGGGGACAGTGGTCACTGCTGACCCCTGCTCTCTGCCGCAGATGTCTCAGGGACCGTGGCGTCCTCAACACCACAGCACCCTGCTCATCCCCAGGGCGCGGGGAAGCAGAGCACAGGGCGCCGTGTACCTGCTCCTGGCTGTGTGTGCCGCAGCGCTGTACCTGACTGGGGAGCCCCTCGTGCCCACCGCCCGCAGCCTCACCTGCCACTTTCTGGCGCTGCAGATCGGGGTGCTGCTCAAGGGCACCTGCTACCTGGCAGAGGAGATCTTCCACCTCCAGTCCAGGTGAGACAGCCTGGCAGGGGTTCCATCCCAGGCTTCAGGGCCACCCTGGGGACAAGGGCATAGCCTCTGGACGCTGGGGAGGCATCTGGCCCTCTCTCCCGCTTGTGCCCTCTGTGGCATCGGTCTGCTGAGCCCCAGCAGCACACACTGCTCTCCATCAGCCTGCTCTCTCTCTCATCTTCCTCCCTTTCTTTCCCCATCTCCTATCTGCCCAGCTCCCATCCAGCATGGACCTGACCTTTCCTCTCTTCTCCTCTCCTCTGGTAGGTCCCCAGTGTGCCCTTCCCCTGTGTAAGACCTCAGCCCCCAGCCTCTGCCTACCACTCTGTACTGGTGGGCGTGGAACTGTTGGAGATAGTCTTCCCTTGCTGTCCAGTGTGACACTGCATCTGCTCCCCTCTGACGCGCATGGG